CAAAAACAGGACAAGGACCCAGAAGATCCAGCTTCCTATAGACCAATAAGTCTGCAAAGTATAGAAAACAAAATATTAGCTAAAGTATTAGCCAACAGATTAAAGCCAATCTTAAACACGATCATTAAAACAGACCAAACGGGATTTGTACAAGGCCGCTACTCGCATACAAATGTAAAACGCCTCTTAGGAGTCTTACAGTATGCTAAGAATAAACAGTCGAACGCCATGATCCTCTCATTGGATGCGGAGAAGGCATTCGACCGCCTCGAGTGGAAATTCATGTTCAAAGTAATGGAACGCTTTGGACTTGGTGACTCTTTCATTCAGTGGGTAAAGCTACTTTACACTTGTCCGGAAGCAGTTGTCATGTCAAATGGCATAATATCTAATCCCTTCACTTTAGAAAGGGGGACTCGCCAGGGCTGCCCTCTGTCTCCACTGTTATTCGTAATGGCTATTGAACCTCTAGCAGAGGCAATACGTACTCATCCCCATATATCTGGTATCAACAGTGGGACATTTAAACATGTTATTTCTTTATATGCAGATGATGTTTTACTTTTTGTTGAAAATCCTAAGATATCCTTACCAAATGTTATGAAAACTATTCACGCATTTGGGGAACAATCAGGATATAAAGTCAATATGAGCAAGTCATCAGTCCTACCGCTCGGTGACAGCCGAAGCTCGCAGGACTCAAATCTCAATCACTTCAAACTCACTGCAAACGGTTTTAAATATCTTGGCATCAAGGTCCCTTATAACTTGGAAGAGCTCAGCAAAAGTAACCTGTTATCAGTTATTAAGCAAGTTAAGTTAGACCTTCTGAGATGGACAGCATTACCTTTATCTCTTTTGGGGCGTATAGCTGTCATCAAAATGAATATACTGCCACGGATTCTTTATCCAATGCAAATGATTCCTCATGCCATACCAAAAACTGTATTTAAAGATCTACATAAACAAGTTTCTAAATTCATTTGGAATGGCCGTCGTCCTAAAATGAAACTCGAAAAACTACAGTTGCCTTTGAAAGAGGGAGGCCTTGCTGTGCCCAATTTTCTGTACTATCACTATTCAATACAACTTAAGAACCTATCTGAGTGGGTAGTACAGGAAGCTGGAAACTGCAATTTAGAATTAGAATCTTTAGGATGCAAACTGCAACTTCTATCAAAAGCACCCTTTCTTCAAAGTAAACAACTGGAGAAAAATAACTATATAGCCTCCAATATTTTAATGACCTGGAATACTATCAAAAAGGAGTTTTCAATTGACCCAAACTATTCATTTTTAGCTGTGATAGCAGATAATCCTCATTTTATTCCTTCTTGTTTAGATAAAGGCTACAGAGAATGGGAAAAACTTGGAATTAAAGTAATATATGATCTATACGATGGTAGTGTCATAAAATCATTCAGTCAGTTACAGGAATCATTTAACCTACCAAACAAAGAATTCTTTAGGTACTTGCAAATTAGGCATTTTCTAAACTCAATTCCACAATATAAACAAGGACTTGGTCCTCACTGCTTGGAAAAAATGCTATATAAAATCAGTTTACAAAAAAGTAAAAAAGTTTCATACATTTATAGCCATCTGGTTACTTTAATGAGTGTGACCACAGTGCGTAAAAGGTCTTGGGAGCATGATCTTGATATGAGTATAACAACCCAACAATGGAGCACTATCATGCTCAACTCCAAAAAAATATGTTGTAGTTACAAGTCACAAGAAATTCAATTTAAAATAATAAACAAATTACAAACTACTCCATATCAACGGAATAAATATGATAAGAACTGTTCATCACTATGTAAACAATGCAAACAGCATGTGGGTACCTATGTACATTTAATATGGTCGTGCCCAATGTCAAAACAATACTGGTTAGAAGTATGTGAAAATATTTCATCCATTGTTCAAAACCGTGTAAAGCCCTGCCCTCTCCAATGCATTCTGGGACTGTCGAACTTTGACCCAAAACTGAGGCAACATACAAAATTAATATCATTGCTTTTGTACAGTGCAAGATTAACAATTATGCAGCACTGGTTAGAGGATGCAGGACCACGAATCTCTGATTGGTTTAAGAATATCTTAAGCCTTTTCCCATTGGAAAGACTAACTTATCTTCTAAAAGGAAATACCGACACCTTCTTTGAAATCTGGAATCCTGTACTGAATCACATCGGAGGAGATGCAGCTAGAATATTAAAGAAAGCTATCTCTGCCATGTAACTTGATGTACTGAAGTGGCTAGTGACCTGTGTGCTCGTGTGTGCTTGTGTGCGTGTGAGAGGCTGTGAATGTGTAGGTTCGTATGGGAATGAATGGACAGTGCACAGAAGGTTTGTGGCTGGATGCTGAGAGTGAATGTGGGGGGTGGGGGTGGTGGTAAGGGGGGATGTTCTGTTTTGTTTTGTATTGTTTGTTATAATTTGAGATTGATTTTGTTTTGTTTCACTGTTTGTTATAACTTAAGATTGATGTACTTGTACAGTATTAATGTGATGCACATGAACTGTAAATCTCTTAACTGTTAAATAAATTGAAAGAAAGAAAGAAAGAAAGATGCTATGAAGAGTATTTTTACCTCCTGTTTCAAGAGTCCTTTGTTCCTTCGGCTGTGAGACTGTAGCTCTGAATTAAACATGTGCACTTTGTATGCGTAACATTAATGTGTAATTAATTAATGTGTAACATGTGTAACTTTTAGTATTATTAGAGAGAGAGGGGCAGTGAGAGGGCAGAGAGAGGGCAGAGAGAGGGAGAGAGAGGGCAGAGAGAGGGCAGCGAGAGGGCAGTGAGAGGGCAGTGAGAGGCGAGAGAGAGGGCAGTGAGAGCGCAGTGAGAGGGCAGTGAGAGGCAGAGAGAGGGCAGTGAGAGGGCAGTGAGAGGGCAGTGAGAGGCGAGAGAGAGGGCAGTGAGAGGGCAGTGAGTCGAGAGGGCAGTGAGAGGGCAGTGAGAGGCAGTGAGAGGGCAGTGAGAGGGCAGTGAGAGGGCAGAGAGGGCAGAGAGGGCAGTGAGAGGCAGAGAGAGGGCAGTGAGAGGGCAGTGAGAGGGCAGTGAGAGGCGAGAGAGAGGCAGTGAGAGGGCAGTGAGAGGGCAGTGAGAGGGCAGTGAGAGGGAAGTGAGAGGGCAGTGACGAGGGCAGTGAGAGGGCAGAGAGAGGGCAGTGAGAGGGCAGAGAGAGGGCAGTGAGAGGGCAGTGAGAGAGCAGTGAGAGGGCAGTGAGAGGGCAGTGAGAGGGCAGAGAGAGGGCAGTGAGAGGGCAGTGAGAGAGCAGTGAGAGGGCAGAGAGAGGGCAGTGAGAGAGGGCAGAGAGAGGGGCAGTGAGAGAGGCAGTGAGAGAGGCAGTGAGAGGGAGCAGTGAGAGGGCAGTGAGAGGGCAGAGAGAGGGCAGTGAGAGGGCAGAGAGGGCAGAGAGAGAGCGAGAGCAGAGGGCAGAGCAGAGGGCAGAGAGAGGCAGTGAGAGGAGAGGAGAGAGCAGAGAGAGGCAGGGAGAGGGCAGTGAGAGGCAGCAGTGAGAGGGCAGTGAGAGAGGGCAGAGAGAGGGCAGAGAGAGGGCAGTGAGAGGGCAGAGAGAGGCAGTGAGAGGGCAGAGAGAGAGAGGCAGAGAGAGGGCAGTGAGAGGCGAGAGAGGGCAGTGAGAGGGCAGTGAGAGGCAGAGAGAGGGCAGTGAGAGGGGAGAGGCAGAGATGAGGGCAGGAGAGGCGAGAGAGGGCAGGAGAGGCAGAGAGAGGGCAGTGAGAGGGAGGGAGGAGAGGGCAGGAGAGGCAGTGAGAGGGCAGTGAGAGGGAGAGGAGAGAGGGCAGTGAGAGGCAGAGAGAGGGCAATGAGAGGGCAGCGAGAGGCGAGAGAGGGCAGTGAGAGGCGAGAGAGGGCAGTGAGAGGGCAGAGAGAGGGCAGAGAGAGGGCAGAGAGAGGGCAGTGAGTGGGCAGTGAGAGGGCAGAGAGAGAGAGGGCAGAGAGAGGGCAGAGAGAGGGCAGAGAGAGGGCAGAGAGAGGGCAGTGAGAGAGCAGTGAGAGGGCAGTGAGAGGGCAGAGAGAGAGCAGTGAGAGGGCAGTGAGAGAGCAGTGAGAGGGCAGAGAGAGGGCAGTGAGAGGGCAGTGAGAGAGCAGTGAGAGGGCAGAGAGAGGGCAGTGAGAGGGCAGAGAGAGGGCAGTGAGAGGGCAGAGAGAGGGCAGAGAGAGGGCAGAGAGAGGGCAGAGAGAGGGCAGTGAGAGAGCAGTGAGAAGGCAGTGAGAGAGCAGGGAGAGGCGAGAGAGGGCAGTGAAAGGGCAGAGAGAGGGCAGAGAGAGGGCAGTGAGAGGGCAGAGAGAGAGCAGTGAGAGGGCAGTGAGAGAGCAGTGAGAGGGCAGTGAGAGGGCAGCGAGAGGGCAGCGAGAGGGCAGTGAGAGGCGAGAGAGGGCAGTGAGAGGCGAGAGAGAGCAGTGAGATGGCAGAAAGAGGCGAGAGAGGGCAGAGAGAGGGCAGTGAGAGGGCAGTGAGAGGCGAGAGAGAGCAGTGAGATGGCAGAGAGAGGCGAGAGAGGGCAGTGAGAGGGCAGAGAGAGGGCAGTGAGAGGGCAGTGAGAGAGCAGTGAGAGGGCAGTGAGAGGCGAGAGAGGGCAGTGAGAGGGCAGAGAGAGGGCAGAGAGAGGGCAGAGAGAGGGCAGTGAGAGAGCAGAGAGAGGGCAGAGAGAGGCGAGAGAGTGTCAACAGCATCGTTCCTGGAGCAGCAGAATCCTGTCGTAGCTTGTTGTCGTTTGTTCTGCGTGTGTGTGAAGCATCCATCATCGCTGAAGGCCACAGATTGGATTATGGCTCCTGAACAGAGAGGAATGACCACATCCTGTCGCATTCAAACCTGTGTAAGCTTTTCCGACGGGCGGGAGGGCGAGAGTGTGCAGGACTGAGACGTCAGATGGAATGAAATAGTGCAGGGATAAAGAGGTGACGCTGCAAAACCAAACGCCACATTTCGAGGATCTACGGTGGCCCAGCGGGACGTTATGCACCATGAGAGCGTTGTAGTTCAGAATCTGCCGTGTAAAGTCCCACCGTGAGGAAATGTCAGTGTTGGATCACCAGTTACAGAACAGTAGGAATGAGGAGCACACAGCACAGAATAATGAAAAATAGTTCTATCCTGAAATATAATAAAATGTCCAACTATTGCACAATGAAGAAGAAAGTATTCAATCTAGCTTTAGCATAATAAGGAGCAAAACTAAGATCTCCAACATTAGCATATTGAAGAAGCAAGAATTAAGTACACATTTCTGGTCATATCAGAGTTAAGCTACTTCTACTTTTAAACAACTAATTCATTATTTTTAATGAATCCATCGCCGTCTTTTCCCACAATGCAATTTTTTCTCTTGCCATATGGTTCTCCTCCAAACACACTATTTATCCTTCGTCTTGAATGTTTTTGTTCTGCGAGATTGAAGTAATGTCTCAGCTGCGGAACAGTTTGGTGTGAAGAATGAGCCCGCCGCTCACCGGCTGTTTTCATCTCTGGTTTTTTAGGCAAGTTTCTTTTTTGTCGCACAAAATATGAAAATGAAAACACGCCACACGTTCTTTGTTCTTCCATCTTTTTGTATTTCACTTAATGTTTGAGAATCATTAATCCCGATACAGTCATTCTTAAAGTCCAAGAGAACAAACACTCTTTTTTTCCTCTATTTCCAAATATTTCCAGTGGTACTTTAGCTGTTATATTCAATTAAAATCACAAACACTGTATATCTCTGTGGCGCAGCTTGGGTAAGATGAGATTTTTGTATGGCACAGTTTGATACACACTTTGATACAAAACTCAAAGTGCTAAACAAAACAAGAAAATGAATAATGACATCTAAATAACATACAGTTTTTAACCTGGATTTGAACATTGTCAGATAAGAAACCTGTCTTTCATTTTCAGGAAGACAGTTTTAGATATTTGCTGCACAAATCTGAAAGGCTGCACTGGAAAAAATATACAATCTGATCTAATAATGATGAGATAAATGCTTGAATCCAGTGGTTTTTATCCAAATCTGAGCACATTCTGACTGTGATAAAAACATGTTTGCCAATGGGAAAAGCCATTTCGTCTTATTTCAAGAACTTTTCCTTTATTAAGGGAGACATTTCTTGTATCTTTTTAAAACAGGATAATTTTGTTTGTCCCTTTGGCAGAATGTGCTCAAATGAAGATACATTTTGCCAAATTGGAAAAATGTTTGCCTTTTTTCATCACATTTTGCAGTGTACTCCCCACGGCTATAGTTGATGCTTTATGGGCTCGACACACGGGAGGCGACATCGCATCGCCTCCATTCATTTTCAATGGGACGTGCGCGACATAGCGTCAATCGCTAGCGAGCCTCCTGCTCAGCGACGGGCGAAAAACGTGCGTGTGAAATCCTCCCGCTCGTGCATGTATCGTGCACGCGCAGGTCAGCGACGCGATCCCAGGAAGTTGAAATCGGCTCAACTTTTCGACGCTGTCGTCAAGCCGCATCGCGCCCCGTCTGTCATGTTATCTGAGCGACAGCGTTGAGTTTCGCTGATCGCTCTCATTTGTCGCCTCCCGTGTGTCTAGCCCATTAGTTTTAAACTCTCTCCATATCGTCACAGTCTTATAAGATTCATCTTGTTCTTCTGAGTTTGAAAGCTGAGTATTTGGACAGATGGGTCCAGAGGTCATATTTGCACAGATGGTGGTGGATCCTTGATGAGATCTCTCAAGTTGATTGTGCTGCATAACATGTGACTTTTAATCTTGGAGCTGCTAAATATGGAACAGTCTTGGTTTGAGTTATTTAGTGATTTAGGAAAGTTAATCTTGTCTTCTTAGTTGAATTAGGGTATTTGGTTCTTCTGTACTAGACAATTGTAAGACAGCAATGTTCAAGCCTTGACATGATTTGACGGAATACTTCTGTCTTCTTCAAAAATGCATTTTGGCTCTCCCCCTGTCCCTCTGTGTAACGTTTGGCTAACCCTCCGTGTGCATTTTGGCTAACCCCGTGTCCCTCTGTGCCTTTGCAGTGCTCCTGCGGGAGGAGGTGGCGCAGCTGCAGGAGGAGGTGCAGCTGCTGCGTCAGATGAAGGAGATGCTGAGCAGAGACCTGGAGGAGACACAGGGAGGCTGCTCCGCTGACCTCCTCTCAGCCACAGAGCTGCGAGTCCAGCTGGCCCAGAAGGAGGAGGAGCTGGACCGAGCTAAAGAGGCTCTGCAAGGTAAACCCAAACTCCCCTCTGGACCCGAAGGAGACCACAGACGCAGGAAACGGCGCCTGCACCAGAGATGAAGTATTTTGGATGAGAATATCATTTTACAATTTGGATTATCTGTGCAGACAACATTGACAAAATCAACGGTTTTGTTTAGTCCTCCGAGATAACTGCCGTTGTGATTTGGAGCTATACAAAAATAAATTGGATTAATTGAATATTCAAACAGCTATTGATTAAGAGCAGCTGTAGTTATAATTACACTTTACAGATGATGTCACACGCTCGGACAGACATTTTGAAGATGTTTGACAAAAAACATCTATATTCAGGGGCCGTTGTAGAGTGTGTTTTTGTTAACCACTGCGTACTCCCTCATCGGACAAATGTGCAATAGTTTCCGTAAATCTGTCAGATGTTCCTCTGCTCTGTACGCAGTAAAGAGGCCGCAGCACCACGGCTCCTTCGTCCTGCAGGTTCTTTTGTTCAACAAGAGACAATACTACTGTAAAAATAGTAATATACATGGCAGAGGCCAAACCTGAATTTAGATGTTATATTGAAGAGTTTGCAAGCAATATTACACATGTAACGGTCGGCGAACAAGCGTCGCTTCGCGTTGAAAGATAAGGAGCAGGGACGTCTCTCATCCTCCTGGTCAGAAGCCCCTGCGATCGCTCCTGTACATCATACAGTATATACTGTACATTCAAGGTCACGGACATCAAGTGGACTCTATGACTTCTCTCTCTGGTCTCTCTTTGCTCTCTACCTCTGGTCTCTCTCTGGTCTCTTTCCCAGGTCTTACTCTCTGGTCTCTCTTTGGTATCTGGTCTGTCTTTACAACTACTGCCACTAAATTCCTGATCAGTTTTACAGTTGATGCAGCTGAATTCAAAAGAAGAATACAGTTTTTTGAAGCTCTCTTTGTGCCAAAAAACAACATTATGTTGTCGCCCACAGTCTCTCTCAGTCGCTGCCTCCTTTCTATCGCTCTTCTCCAGGCGAATATTAAGACAAGATAAGCAATTCTTTCATGTGGTCCTATTGTACTTTCCCTTTTTGTTTCTCTTTGATTTGTTCAAAAGACTAAGGCGTCGCATGTCAAGGAATGAAATCCCCGGACGGCTTTCAGGGAGTTGATGGAAAATTGAATTTTGAACACATTTTCTTTCAAACCAAGTCTCTGTCTTTTGCGCTGCTTCTTTGTCTGTTCAAGTGTCAATATGATTGTTTTTGTCGTCTGGAAAAGAGATAAATGATTGTCTGTAGTGATTAGTTTATATTGTTAAATTAAAGACAGATACTTTTAGAAAATGACAATTTTTTTCATGATACATGTAAAGCTGGGGTAAGGTAAGGCAAGAGAGAGAGACCAGAGAGACAGACCAGAGAAAGACCAGGGCGAGAGGCAAGAGAGAGAGACCAGAGAAAGATCAGAGAGAGAGACCAGAGAGAGACCAGGGGGAGAGGCAAGAGAGAGAGACCAGAGAGACGGACCAGAGAGACGGACCAGAGAGAGACCAGAGGGAGAGACAAGAGAGAGAGACCAGAGAGAGACCAGAGGGAGAGACAAGAGAGAGAGACCAGAGAGCGATAGCGACAGACCGGAGGGAGAGGCAAGACAGAGACCAGAGAAAGATCAGAGAGACAGACCAGAGAGAGACCGGGGGGAGTGGCAAGAGAGAGAGATCCTAGAGAGACCAGGGGGGAGAGGCAAGAGAGAGAGATCAGAGAGACAGGCCAGAGAGAGAGAGAAACTCATTCACTAAGACACAAACAACACACTTTCTCAACAATCGCCTCAGCTGCCTCTGGATTAAATGAGAGAATCGTCATCATCTCACTCTCTGACACACACAGCCTCCCACAGTGCTGCAGACGGCACACAGAAATTAAACCGCAAACGAAGATTACGACAGTGTTAAATATTGCATCAAGTCATCAGACAGATGCATAAGCGGAACAACCAAACAATCACAATTCAACCTTCATAATGGCTCTTGGCAAAATGGTGGTTTTTGTTTTGGCTGTGAGACGAGTGTCGCACCTGCGCTCGCTTTATGGCTCAATAAAACCCCTTTTGCAGCCTCCTGTGGCCTCAAGCACAACCTGTAATTCTAAGTGTCTGTATAATCATCCTCCTTCTTGCATTTGGCACAGAGAGGGCAGACACGGCAGCCAAATCACTACACACTGAAGAGGAGAATATGGAAGCGGATCGCAACCAAACACACTGCAAAAAGTGATGAAAAACAGTCCGAAATTTGGCAAAAATGCGTCTTCATTTGAGCACATTCAAAGCTCAATTATCTTAGTTTAAAAAGATAATTCGGCTTGGTCATAAATACACACTATTAATTGAATGAAATCACCTTTTAAAATAAACACAGTTAAAACCACTGCTGAACTTATATGAAAAACAGCAATAATGCACTGGGGAGAAACAAGTGGGAAACTCATTCAAGAAAAGATTAAATAAGTAGTTTGTGTCAACCAAATGTCACCTCTTCCTCCTGCACCAGCGAGGAAGAATAAATATTACAAACACGACATTCCACTGTTCTCTGGGACCGGCTCTGAACCACACGCACCTGTCTTTGTTCTCTCCCTCACAGCAGCTCCGTCCTTCAGCGCCCGCTCCCTCTGACTCCATGTTTAACCCCAGCGAGCAACAAAACAAAAATACACTGTTTTACTCCCAATGCCCAAACGAGAAACACAAAAGAGGTTATTGTCTGTGAGGCCTAGTGTGAGTCAGGCAGCACAGAAGAAGGAATTTAGTTTTTTTTTATAATTAAAGTTAAAAAAAAATTGAGAAAATGAACTGTGTTTGTGGAGATGTGAGACTGTAGAGACTGCGTTTCTCATGTGTGTGTAAAGCTAAGGTTTTTTGCGCAACTCGGTTTCTGCACAACCAGGACTCGGGATATAGATCCAGGACTGAGGCTGTAGATCCAGGACTGAGGCTGTAGATCCAGGACTGAGGCTGTAGATCCAGGACTGAGGCTGTAGATCCAGGGCTGAGGCTGTAGATCCAGGTCTGAGGCTGTAGATCCAGGACTGAGGCTGTAGATCCAGGTCTGAGGCTGTAGATCCAGGTCTGAGGCTGTAGATCCAGGTCTGAGGCTGTAGATCCTGGAATGATGCTGTAGATCCAGGGCTGAGGCTGTAGATCCAGGACTGAGGCTGTAGATCCAGGACTGAGGCTGTAGATCCAGGTCTGAGGCTGTAGATCCAGGTCTGAGGCTGTAGATCCAGGTCTGAGGCTGTAGATCCAGGTCTGAGGCTGTAGATCCAGGACTGAGGCTGTAGATCCAGGTCTGAGGCTGTAGATCCAGGACTGAGGCTGTAGATCCTGGAATGATGCTGTAGATCCAGGGCTGAGGCTGTAGATCCAGGTCTGAGGCTGTAGATCCAGGTCTGAGGCTGTAGATCCAGGTCTGAGGCTGTAGATCCAGGACTGAGGCTGTAGATCCAGGTCTGAGGCTGTAGATCCAGGTCTGAGGCTGTAGATCCAGGACTGAGGCTGTAGATCCAGGACTGAGGCTGTAGATCCAGGTCAAGTGCAAGATTATTAGTGCTTTGTTCAGACTGATAACAACTTGTGGAAAGAAGCTGTTGGCATATCCAGATATCCTGCATCTTCTGCCGGAGGGAAGAAGCTGGAACCGCTCTCTTTCTGGTCTCTCTCTCTGGTCTCTCTCTCTGGTCCCCCCCCCCCCCTCTCTCTCTTTCCCCATCTCTGCTGAATGGCTCTTTGACTGATCCTCTCTGAGTGATTTCCTTGTGTGACGAGTCCACACTGTGCCAAGTCTTCACAGGTGCAGGATGTGGGCCCTGCTGGTCCCTGGCTCCTTGGTCTCTGCTCTTGGCCCCTGGTCCCTGGCTCTGATCATGCGGAGCTCGTCTCCTGCACGTGTGACCTGGTTCCTCTGCGCCCCTGAGCCTCTCTCCTGTCTGAACAAATTGGCTACTTATTTACTTCATGGATGTGTGTAATGTCTGGATAGGTTATAGCTAGCTTAAACTCGTCTCCAACATGGACAAGGAACCTCCAGCTTTCACAAAGGTGCAGATTTCAGTCCTCTTGTCATTTTGAAATCAATCGGTTTTATTTTGTAACAACATTTATTATCAATGATCCATTTTGCGTTGCTTGCTTGGTGTGGTTTTGCACTGCTAAAAATAATAAAATATTTTTTTAGCAGTGGTAATAATTGTTTGAATCAGGTGCTTTATCTTAATCTGAGCACATTCTGACTGTATTAAAACAAAACTTGCCAATGGGACAAAGCCATTTAGAAGATAATTTTGCTTTTCCTATTTGCAAATCTGGTTTTAAGGCAGTCAGAATGTAATCTATTTTGGAGTGTGTATGGCATTAAAAAGAGACTTGAGTGAGCCTGGTCTGTGATGCCGGTTCTAATGAGACGAGAGGAGTCTCAGCGTGTCCTTGGACCCACACTATAGTGATGTTGTCTGTGCGGTCCCCAGACACCTGTTAACACCCACATGTAATTAAATCTGTGAAGTGGTTCATTATTCACACACAGGTGTCTCTGTCTGCAGGAACACTGAGGGCCCCACAGGGACCACCAGGCTTCAATGGACACTGCTGCTTGGATTTCTTGTAGTTGTGTGTTCATTGGGGACATAAAAAGAGAAGAGAGTTTGTGTTTGAGAATGCCAAATAATTGAAGGAGCAGAAACAACAGAAGAGACATTTGGATAAGCCTGGAAAATGTTTTTTGTTTTATTTATTGACTTGAAAAGGGACAGTACACATTCACGGTAAATGTGATAAAAGTTTCAAACTGTAGTCCCAACAGTGTTACGACAGAGACAGGAGACTGAAGAAGTTTAACATGTTTATTTAAATTCAACTCACTTCACTTCAACGTATCTTTGTAAAACCATAAATCACTATAGCAGTTTTCTTGGAGGTCTTTACCACTCTGACTGTGACTGTCTTACTACAAGATCCTCTAATGAGACAAAGCCATTTAGTCTTATTTCAAGAACTGTTGCTTTATTTTCTCATTCCAAAGGGAGACATTTCCTGTGTCTTTGAAAAAAAAAATCATTTTGTTTTGTCCCTTTGGCAAATCTTGTTTTAAGGCAGTCAGAATGTGCTCAAATTAAATACATTTTGCCTAATTTAAGACATTTTTGACCTTTTTTCATCACTTTTTATAGTGCAGCTTCATTGTTTTGAGATAGTTGATTTGACTTTCAGGCAAAATACATCCTTTTGTTAATTGCACAATAAAATAGACAGTGGATGGAGCTAAAAGCAACTCCAGGTCTGTTTTGGAGGGCAGAAATCTCCGGAAAATACTATTAATTTGGGTTTCTAAAGAAGTGATCATGAACATCTCAACTGGTTTTTATTGCCTTTTTTCCGTCGGCTTTCAGAAAATATTTTTCAGCATACGTTAAAATGACGAAGGTCCTCTAATTAGTATTAGTATTAGAAGTATGGAGCTGGTTCCTTTTGGAGCTGCGTGGGCTCGGATTAGTCCCTGTGAGAGAAGAGAGGAGCAGTCATCAAAGCCCTGGGAAGTCCTGATTTAGACCAGAGCCAGTCCTGGTTCAGACCTGGTTAAGCAGTGACCAATGAGGTCCCTCAATTTTGCATTTAAACACACATAGCTATAGTTATATTGGATAATCAACTTGCTGGATACTGGATGTTAAAGGACATTGTTTAGTCCTGGTTCAGACCAGGTTTAGACCTAGATTACACCTGGTTTAGACCTTGTTTGGAACAGATTTAAAACATCCACACATAACAAAACCAATATGGGTTAATCAACTTGCTGGAGGGTAATTAGGGTTGGGGAACCGTATACCGCTCTAAAATTGGGAAAAAGACTTTGTCCTCAATGACAAAGACAGAATCAGAGTTAAGCTAACATCAAACAATCAGTGAACCTGATTTGTGTTTATATTTTTTTGGCACAAACCCAGGCTCAGCAGAAGGAAGACAAGAGAGGGTCAGACGCTCAACAATAAGTTCTCTAAAGCCATTCATAATAGTTAATGGTTTTATGTAGCACTTTTCATGACACCACAGACAGACATGATGTTATTCATTCATACACAGTGGTGATAAACTACTGTAGCCACAACTGCCCTGGGACAGACAGAAGTGAGGCAACCAGTCTGTGCCATCGGCCCCTCTGACCATCAGAGGTCTAGCTTGAATTTCTTTCTGTTCTGACTTTGCTTCCTTCGTCCAAAAAGCCTGATGTTCCCAATATTCCGTGTATGTTGCAGCCATGAAGTCGGACCGGAAGCGTCTGAAGGCGGAGAAGGCCGACCTGGTGAACCAGATGCAGCAGCTGTACGCCACACTGGAGAGCCGCGAGGAGCAGCTACGGGACTTTATCCGCAACTACGAACAACACAGGAAGGTAAACATGTTGTAAATGTGGGAGTGAGGATGATGGAGAGACCTTTTTACTGCTAGGTTCAGGCTCATAGTTCTTTGTGAGGAACTTTATACAGTCTTTGAGTCGTGTGAAGTGAATGAGGACCAAAAATGCAGGAAGGCAAAAATAAGGATAGTCCAAAGTAAAAAATCTAAACAAAACTTAGGAACTCAGGTGAAACACATAAGTAAAATAATACAAAATGTACACCATAACACTTTGTGAATCGTTAGCTTCAGTTGCATGCATGCAGCAGTTTTTAACCTGGATTTGAACATTGTCAGAGAAGAAGCCTGTTTCACATTTTCAGGGAGACTGTTCCTGATTTTAACTGCATAAATTTGAAATGCTGCCTCCCCATGTTTAGTCCTGACTCTAGACACCAACAGGAGACTAATTTAATCTAAAATAATACAAGTATATGGTTGTTTTCTAGGTATAACAGTATAAAAGTATGAAAATATACAAGGTTTACAAATACAGTCTCTTATTAACCGACTATCAATGCTAATCAGTTAATTTAATCATGAATAATTGAAAATCCTTTTAAGGGCCACTAACAATGGTCTGGCCAGCTGTATTTGACCTGAGGGCCTGTGTTTGTGTGTTTTGTGTGGTGGCCTTCCCTTGAGGATGTGTGTGTCTTCCAGGAGAGCGAGGACGCGGTGAAGACTCTGGCCAAAGAGAAAGACCTTCTGGAGAGAGAAAAGTGGGACCTGAGGCGGCAGAGCAAAGAGGCCACGGAGCTCACGGTCCTGCTCCGTACTCAGCTGGACCTGAAGGAGAACCGCATCAAAGAGCTGGAGGCGGAGCTAGCCATGGTGAGGGGCGAGGCCATGGTGAGGGGCGGGGCCATGGTGAGGGGCGGGGCCATGGTGAGGGGCGGGGCCATGGTGAGGGTCAGGGCCATGGTGAGGGGCGTGGCCAAAGGAGACAAGAGCACCTTTGCATTACAGGAGGATTAAGAGTAGGCAGGATGCACACACAGTGGGTTCAGTGATCAGACATAAGCACCGCTAAAACTGTTTTAGCCAAGACTTACAGTATTATAGCCAGCGTAGCCGCCTGTCTCACTCCTTCAGGAAGATTGTTCCAATTTTAGGTGCAGAAGTCTGGAATGCTGCCTCGTCATGTTTAGTCCCAGCAGGAGGCCAGTCCCTGTGCTCCTCAGAGTCCCAGTTGGTTCATATGCACTAACATGTCACAGATGTACTTTGGTTTGAGGCCATGGAGAGACTTGTAACAAACAGAGCTGCTTTAAAGTCTATTCTCTGAGCCACAGAGACCTGAGGACTGGACTATCTGATACAGCCCTATTCTTATTATTAACATATCGAGATCATGGTTAAAGGCTAAAATTAACACTTAAAGTATGATACTTATTCTTTAACTTATTCAAATGTCTGGATTTGATGTCGTGTCTGTTTGAACTTGAAACATTAGTTAACAATCCTCTTCGGCCCCAAACGCGCCGCCTCTCGCCCCCAGATGAGTAACTGTGTGAATCAGAGAATGGAGTTCCGGCTGTCGGACAGAGACTTCCCCCCCAGGTTCATGATGGTAAGACCCATAACTGCAGATCCTCCCCCTCCCCAGACGACTCCCGGTGTGTGACCTGCTGTTTGCACTCCCAACACTGAAAAAACTACAGAGCAGCACCAGTGAAATCTATCATTTATTTTATAACATCTTCACAAGTTCTGACCATGTTCGAGGCCTTTGCCAGACGAAGACAAATCTGTGATGCATAAAGACAGAACTAGCTCTGTATCTTTTTATTTATTTATCATCCTTCAGATTTTACTGTAATGAGAAGTAACATTCTGCATGAAAAAAGTCAAATACCCCAGCTTCAGTAGGTGAGTAAGAACTAAAAAAATGTCATTATGTCAGAAAGGCGTCATGACAACTCTACCAAAATAAAAAATACACATATAAAAAAAAAGCAGAACAATAAGAGGCTTATGGTCAAGAAATAGAAAAATATGAGCTACTTTTAGATGAAAAAACTGGAAAGTCGACAGTCAAGTTTACGTAGAAGTAGAGATCCTAGAATAAAAAACTTTATAGAGTCATAAATCTTAAGAAGTAGAAAAATGTAGAGGTTCATAGTCCAAAAATTATGATTTAAGAAGATACATTTTATTGATCTCACAATGGAGAAATGTAAACATCACATTTGGCATCAATAGGATCACTCCGGAAGTGCAAAAGATAGGAAATGTCCAAACAGAGAATGTTAAAAAGAGAAAGATTGTCTTTTTTGTGCAAGATATGTTATATACATTTAAATTAAACAGTATGTTGATTGGTGAGTTTTTGCCGTGAGTCTCGCATAGAAACAGCCCTAACCTCCCTCACCCGGGATTAGCGCCACTGTCACTGTCAAAGCCTGGATTGCTCGAAAAGTCAATTCTAACTCTTCCTCCGGAGCCTGTTGTGTTTTGCATGACAAAGACATGTGATTGCTGTGATTTGTGCTGATTTTAGCGACTGCACGGCTTGACAAAACGTGGAGAAAAAAACAGAAATAGGTTTTGAAAGAGGCCAGACACAACTCCCAGGGCGGTTTCTCCTTTGTTACTGAAAGGAATTGAATTGTGACAACGTAGTTTGAAAACACTTATATGAGTTCTGTGGCAGTGGAAATAAACAAGTCTTTTCTCTTTTTGTAGCAGAATGTTTTTGGAGAAGTCGCAGAGGGACGAGTGTAAATCCACCGTCACTTTACTTTACTCATCCGTACAATAATCATTTGGATAATGTCAGAATGTGCGATATAGAACCACGTGTCCACTGTCACTTTAGGTCCTTTGTCCCAGACCCTCACGGTGCTAACATGTACAGATGTTTGCAACAGTCGCTTCTATATATTAATTATGTTATTCATTTTATACGTGCCTCTTTGTCGTGCTAAAGTTAAGAGATTTCATACTCAGACTACAAAAACTAACTACAAAAAAAAAAGAATAGATTTATAAAATTACAGAAACAAAAAGTATATGAGATTTTTTAAAGTCCCATTGTAAACTTTGATGAATAATTCTGACTGCTTGTTTCTGTAGTATAGACAGTGGTTGTGATGTTCCCTCTGACCTCCAAACAGTGTGTGGAATGAAGCATTAACCACAGCCTAACATGTACAAGAATGATGATTATATTGTACACTTTCCTCTTACACTGCAAAAAATGATGACATATGTAGGCAATAATTTATCTTAATCTGAGAACATTCTGACTGTCTTAAAACAAGATTTACCAATGGGACAAAGCCATTCAGTCCTATTTGCTGTTGCTTAATTTTCTTATTTTTCATCACTTTTTGCAGTGTACTTTTAAACCCAGCCAGATTCCCCAATGTACAACCTGTTTTTCTCTCTTCTTTTTCTTTGTGTCTAGGCAAAGCAGTCCCTGGCCACTCTGACCAAGGACGTCCCAAAGAGGCACTCCCTGGCCATGCCAACGGAGGCGGTCGTCAACGGGAACAACCAGGAGTGGGTGATGCAGGCCGACCTCCCCCTCACCGCGGCCATACGGCAAAGTCAGCAGACCCTGTACGTGCACACGGGACATCCCTGTGACAGACAAGGTAAAAGAAACAAAAGAATCCTATTGCCCCCTGCTGTCCTGGCCTCCACCTGCATGTGGATATGAACCAGCTAAACACGTATTTTCACTGCAGAAAGTGATGAAAAATTGGTCAAAAATTGCTCAAAATTGGCTAAATCTATCTTAATTTGAGCACGTTCTAACTTCCTTAAAACAAGACTTAACAATGGGACAAAGCAAAATGATCTTGTTTTAAAAAATACACAAGAAATGTCTCCCTTGGAATGAAAATAAAGCATCAATTCTTGAACGAAGACTAAACTAAATCACAACAGTAGTGATCTCTGAGGACTTTACAAAGCCATTGATTCGTCAACACAGATCTGAGAATCAAACAGTTAAAAAACAAGAAATGAAAATAAAACACATAGAGCCATTGGTCCATAAGAGGCAGATGACCAGTGTTGATAAATGTTGTTGAATGTTGAGTGCCCTGGATCCTGTAAAACCCAATGGGATAAAATGAGAAACCTCTGGGAAACCCACATGGAGGGTGGGATCCGCTCCCAGGGACAGACGGCCTGTAGATCCAGGACTCCAAGTCTAAATGGCTTTGTCCCATTGGCAAATCTAAGACAGTCAGAATCAAGATAAAAAGATGAACACTCCATTTGATTATTACCTCATGTTTCATCATTTTCTTCAGTGTTACTATATTTACCGAGCTCCAAAGACGCTCCACTCCATGCTTCTGTGGCAGTGACCGTGGTTTGGCTTAAGCTGTCTGTTTTATATGCTACGTTAAAGTGTGAACCTGCTTTTCTCCATATTATAACAGATATCTGATACACGTAGTGGTTGTATAAGTCAAATTCAAAGCATAAATATTGTGCAAAATCAACTTTTTTGAACTTTTAACCATGGTCCAACATTGTTTTCTCAACAAAAACATGTTTTTTATTATTTATTTTTTATCCACACTTACTGTATATGTAAGGAACTTCTGGCCTAAAATTTGGGAAAAAATGTAATATGTTCTACACCTCCCTCTGGTGGCAGAATAGAGAGTTACAAGTGTAAAGCATTTTGTTCCCTCCATAATTGTTACTGAATAGTTGTCACTGAATAGGATTTCACATTCTAAAGTATGACATGGCAAAGTAAATAGTTTCGTTTTCACTTTAAATGACCAAAATAATGCATAATATTTCTTCTTTAAAGCATTCTTGTTTTGACTGATTGATAGGCTTTGTGCACAGTTCCAGAGTCACGCCCACTTCCTGGTTTGTGTCTTTAGCGCCATCACTTCCTGTTTTATTTTTATCTTTTAATAATGTGGCCGTTTCAAGAGTCATTAAGATCACATGAGCTCTTATCAGCCCCATGCAGCAAAAAAAAACATAAAAACACTAAGTGCTAAGACATGAACCAGGAAGATTGTGCTCAGAGCCGGGGTGATGTGTTGTTGTGTTGTGTTTGTCAGATTAACATTTGCCTTCACTGCCACTGGAAATAATTGTCAAGCTTCTATTGTTAAGAGTAATTTTAAGAGATGTTTTTAGCTTTTCAAAAGTGTCACACATTTGCCCTTATTTATGCCATGATATTTAGTTTTTCTGTATGTACATATATTTTTCTGTTGGATTTGGCAAGGCAAGATGAGGAAAGTTTATTTGTATAGCACAGTTCATAAAAAGGCAATTCAAAGTGCTAAACAAAACAAGAAAAGGCAGTGCGTTAAAAAGAGTGAAAATAAAATCCCTAAGTTGTATGCACAGCTAAACAGACCTGATTGAAGTGAAATCCTGTCTCACATTTTTAGGAAGACAGTTCCAGACTTCAGCTGTCTCTATGTTTAGACCTGACTCTGGACAGTAGGAACCAAAAGCAGAACTGTAAAATAACAATACAATTTATTACATGCCACAAGGCGATGTGGCGAGATGTGAAGGGGCAAACAGGAAGTAGAACTCAAAAGAGAATGTGTATGTATTAGTGCTGTCACTTAAACGCATTAATAACGGTGTTAAAGCAAAACCCTTGTTTATAGCTTCAATAAAGCAAGTTTGTATCATGACTGAAAACTGCATCACTGCACAGCAAAAATACATGTAGGTAACATTTGAGGCTGTCGAGTGCCTGGGAGTCTGTGTGCTTGTGCTCCAGGCTTCTACCACGAGCATGTATCTGAAATCTGCCCCGCAGCCTCCGACACACACTGCTGCAGTGAGAAAATGCTTTCTGCTTCAAAGGCTGTTCTGTGTTGGACGTAAGGTACAGTCAGCTTTGAGGAAAACACCAGTAGTTGTGCTAACTGCTGATGACGTCCATCAATGACAACTATCTCCAGGTCAAAACTTTGAAGTGATGGTCGTTGTTATGACCCAAAGGACAAAACATATTTGGGACAAAGAAAACCCAACTCCGTGTCCAGAACAGAAAAAAACCAAAGTAATCAAATTGCAGGTGGACCTGGAGGGCGAGACAAACAAAAACAAAATACATGTACGGAACATAGACTGTAAATATTAACGGACGTAGTCACGCCTATCTCCGCCGTTCAAACAAATGGGCCAAACATTTTGCTCTCCTGGAGCTATCCAAAATGGCCGCGAGTGGTCCTGCCCACAAGAAAATGGTGAAAAAACGCATCTGCGCATGCGTCATCCGGCGCAAGATCCATTCATTTGAACGAGACACAGCGAGTAAACTAGAGTGGTCCAAAAAAATCCACCCCCCTCAGCATTGACACCAACTTTTGGTCCATCCTGTAAAGATGTTTTCGAGAGGTAAGAAGATGCTATATGTTAGCATTTGATAATTCTTATTCCAGGTCCACCCCTATCGGCCCGGGGTGGTATTGCAAGCATGTCAGCGCACGTCATTTTGGCCACTTTTGTGCCGGGACCTGCCCCCACTGGTACAGAACCGTCCAGATCCAATGCCGGCACCCTAACCAAAGAATAAACAAAAACCCAAATAGCTGCACCCTGCACCAGAGAAAAAGTAACCACTGGACCCACCTGATCAAACAAAAATAAGGCAAGGAAAAAGCTAACAAACCGCCAAAGAAACCAAACCATGCGGCGTCTGAGGAGACTGCAAACGGGACCAGGAGGGGGCGCTCAGCACGCTCACCTCAGCAGGTGTAACGAAAGAGGACAGCGCTAGTTACTATAGTCCCGTCCCAAGATATACAATATACAAAACACAAATTCCAAAAGTTATCAAAATGTAACCTGTAACAAACAATACGACAAATTATTATAAAACCCAAAAAAACTGGACAAAAAAGACATGTAAAAAGCAAAAATAAAACCGGAGATGGATATTAGAGAATACAAATACTTGTGGGGATTGCATAAATGTAAGCTTTTTCCTTCATCCAATCCCTTTTCAAACCTAAACAAGTAGAAATGATGTGTTTAATTGTGAGTTAACTATGACATTAATGCAACCGTTTGACAGCACTACTTTATATTTATAAATAATAGATAAAACCATGTATGAAAATAAATCAACAGAAAGTATTTTTTCCAAATTTCTTCAAAGTAAGTCAAATCTTCTGCAGTTTCCATTAGCAACAATATTCCAAGCTAATTAGCCTCACAGCTAAAACAGCATTCTCATTATTATTTGAATAGACTTTCAATGTAATTTACAATGTACTTTGTGAGATGTGTGCCAGACAAAATGCTCCCATCCAAAGATTGGCTCACCCAGCTCGGCCCGGTTCGACCTGCTTCGACCTGGTTTGTGTGTGCCGGTAATTGGCCGTGTCTCAAACTGAGGCCAGTGCAGATATATCACGCACAGGCGGTCACCTAGCAACAGCTCAACAACACTAAAGGCCTTCGTATACTCGGGCGTCACTGTGTGCGTTGCCGTTTGGGCTGGACCTGTTGTTGATGATACAACCACACTTGTTTGTTTACTCGAGCGTATCCCCATTTGTAGATTTGAAGAGGATGTTGTAATCTCGAACACACACACACACACCTCCATCAGCCTTGTGCTTTGTGCCTCTCCAGTGGCCTCAGTTCGCCTCAGCCCGTGTCACTCCCGTCAGCCTTCTGCTCCCTCTGACGCCTCGGTCCTGGACGGCGACCGCTCCTCCACGCCCAGCGACCTCAACTCTCCACGCCACCGCACACACTCGCTCTGCAACGTAAGAGACGCACAACCCCACCTCACCGCACGCACACACTCCCTCCGCAACCTAAGAGACTCGCAGCCCCCAAGCCAAACAATCATCACCTTTATTTATTTATTTATGTACCTGTCATTACAAAGTCAGAACAATGCAACAAAATGCAGTTTAGTGTCAAACCAGTCGTGCAATAGTGCAGGGATATGACACAACACCGATGAATATGTACAGTATGTGGGAGACTGTACAAAGCTGCTATTGCGAGTAAATATTTTAATTACATGACATTAGCATGCACAGCTTTTCTGCGTGATAAACTGTCTCTTAGCCTGCTGGTTCTTGCCCTGGTCCTGGTTGTAGCCCTGGTCCTGGACTTGGTGCTGGTGCAAGCCCTGGTCCTTGTTCGGAGCCTCTTGACTAATGAGTCTGTGTGCAGGATACATATTTTGTTTGTTGTCACTGCTCTTCCTGCTGCTGCTGCTACTGCTGCTGCTGCTGTTGCTGCTGCTGGTCATCTTCGCTTTGGCTTGAGTCACATTTTCACATTTGCTGATGAATTGTTAAGCTATGACTGTAAAGTTCATTTGCAAAAACTGATACATTGTATGTGGTTTTGTACAGTATAGCCCTAAATCACAACAGTAGTTATCTTAGAAGACTTTACAAAACCTTTACCAAAATTTGTCAGATCAGAGAATCAAACTGTTCAGATATTTAAAGTAAAAAAAACACATAGAGCCATTGGTCCAGAAGTGGCAGATGACCAATGCCCATGAACGTTAATAAATGTCCTTAAATGTCCTGGATCATAACCACTGTCCTATACTGTCCTGCATCGGCAAGACACAACTGAGAAAGTCATGTCATGTTTACAGCCATAAACACATATCATTTAGATCCAGCCCAGGACCAGTCCAAGACAGCACATTGGAGAAAAGGGGCTTTACATCTTTGACATTAACAATCAGGGACTAGGCCACATTTTTCTTGATCATCACATGCCCTGAAGCAGGACCTACGTGGCCGTAACATGTAGCCTTCGTTTCTGTTCATTAAAGGATTTCTATTGACTGGCTTTAGTGCCTTGGATTTCCTCTTACATGATTTACATGAGTTACATAAGTTGAATAATTACGCTTCCAAAATAAAAAGCTGTAAAAGGACTGCTCTGGGGGTCCTAGTGTTATTACAGAGCCGACCTGAGCCTCTGTACAACACACACACACACACTCTTATCTCCCTTCTGTCATCTCTGACTGTATTTCTCTCTCCCTCTTCCTCCTCTTCCTCACGTCTTCAGTCCCTCGAAGATTTGGAGGAGGCGAAACGCAAGAAGAAGAAGGAGAAAATCGGCCTGGGGTCTCTGTCTCGCGTCTTTACCCGGGGAAAACAACGCAAGTCTATGGACCCCGGTTTGTTTGATGGTACTTCCACTCCCGACTATTACATAGAAGAGGACGCAGACTGGTAAAACTGACAAGCACATTACGACCAGAGCCCAGCGGCATTATGGGAAATCTACTGTGAAAGAGAGCGTGGTGTGAGATCAAAGGGTGAGTTCAATGTTTGTACACTGCAAAAAATCATGAGAGATGAGTTAAAAATGTCTCAAATTTAGTAAAATATTACAACAACAATTTGGCACTTTACAGCTGCCCCATAGGTCTCCCATTAAGATAATAACCAGGACCTGCCCTGCTTAGCTTCGGAGGTCTGACCACAAAAGATATCTCAGCTTTCCTCCTCCACAATTTTAAATTTGTATAGGTTATTTCGCACGTTGTGATGTCACATGAACACAACCTATAAGCATATTTTTCCCAAAAGACTTTACAACATTGCTGCCATCCCTTTGACCTCTGCGTATGTGTGCATTAGTGTATGTTTGTGTGTGTGCGTTAGTGTATGTTTGTGTGTGTGTGTGTATGCATATGTGTGTGTGTGTGTGTTCTCTCAGCTGGGGGGGGCCTTCAAACCACCAGACTTTTGCTGTAAGTACATGTACACGTGTAAATATCACGGACACGGCCACACAGCAAAACCCAAGGATTCTCAACCTGCTGTGCGCGGACAGACAAACTCAAAAAAACATATTTTTGTGTCTCCAACTGAAACTTGAAGGACTGCTGTAACCTGTAAATAACATTGTGCTTGTAGATGTGTCCCTGTGTCCTGAATGCTAACACTGTCGCTGCAAAACAACAGCTGGAGATGCTTTTGTTTGGATTCTAATCTGGACTTGAGTGTTGTTTATTAGTTTAGCTCAATCCATGTGGGGTTATAGTTGAGGATCATTCCATCAGAAAATTAATATTAGCAGACTTTGCAAATCTATTTTAGTGCAAAGATATTAACTCTAATTCCTCCTTCACCAAATAAACTCAACATTGTTTGTATTGGATCTATCTAAGGAATAGAATTTCATATTAAAGGGGACATAACCTGCAATTTTTCACAGCTTTGGACCATATAATAGTAGTGTATTTGCCATAACAGTTACCTCAGAAAATAAATCAAAAAATGCGTACATGAAAATAATGCAGTTAATTTGATCATAAGCTGGAAACAAAATTCTCTATTTGGGCATTTTTTTGCGCCATAACAGTGGCTGGCATGTTGCTATGATGCTGCTAGGACGGTTGCTAAGGCGAGCTAGCGTTTCTGATTAGTCACATCTTATAAATATCTTTATAAGATATCTTATAAAATCCCTTTTACATGCAAGTCAATGGGAGCCAGAGCGAGCTTCGTCTATGAGCACTTTACTGAGCTTGAAGGGTTAGCATTGTCCGTCTATATACAGTCTATACATTGAAGCTAAAATACAATTAGTAAAGGTTAAATGAAAGAAATATAGTTATGTCAGTATTATATGTAAAAATGTGTCTAGTTTTCAAGAAAAACGCAACAAATTGTGTTCAGAAAAAACATCATTCCCTAAAAGTAATTGATGCATTATTCACAGTTTTGTTGGAGAAGTGTCAAAAAGAAAAGTGGATCGAACCTACATCACAACAGAAGTTATCTTGGACTTTACGCAGTTGTTGATTTGCCAACAACAGATCAGAGAATCAACGGTTGAAATACAGGAAATGCAATGATAAAAAACACCGAGCCATTGGTCCATAACGGGCTGAGACTGTTAACAGATAATCATGAATACTGCTTTACTGTCCAGGGCTGAAAAAGTTTGGGAACCGCTGTCATAAATAATCACAAACTCAACTCTAGATTCTGAATCCAAGTAAAGCTCTCCTTGTTTTGCAGTGTTATTTTTGGTCCTTTAACTAAAAAAAGAAAAATCCCTCTTGTTTATTGTCTTGCTTGGTCCATCCTTTCCCCATGACTAAAACGGTCTCTTGTGGGCAACACACAGACTCCCCCTCTCACCCTGCCCCCAAACTCTTCCCCCACCACCAGGCCAGTGGTGTCTGTCTGCTCTGGAGATCGATAGCTTCTCCCGATCGCTGTGTGACCTGCATGTGCGTGATCCCAGGACTTGGAACTGTTACTGTGGCCGTGCAGAGGCCTGGTGCACTGAGGCTGGGGGTTTTCTATCCCGGTGTCACTCAACCTTTCTGAATCACAATCATATTCACACACAAAAGCACCTGCACCTTTTATTAACAATGCAACACACAACACACAAGGAACACACAACACAAGATAAATGAACAATAAGTCTCTAGTAAATGAAAGTAAAATCTCTAATGAAGAAGTAAGTTTAAAATTTCTACAGAAAATCAAACAAGCACAAAAAAATAATTCTAATATCCTCACATGTTTTCTTCTCACATTATTTTGACCAGTTAGGTGATATTGAACCATTTCCAAAGGCACGCCAAACAACATCTCAATTGAAAATTGAAAATATGAAATAGGAGTGCTTTTTCTTAGCTTTTGTAAACTTTACCATGTTTGAGTCGAGTCTACTTGAAGCTTGGAACTACTTGAAGCTTGGGTCATCACTATCACTTGGTTTTTGGCACTTTGGCCATGACAAACTAAAAAACATCAACCATTTGGTAAAGGCCTATAATAGAAATAATGCAAACAAATGAATTATATTTTTTCATGCTTGTACATCTTATAAAAAAATGTACATTGCTTTCTTCAAGGAGTGAACATTAAAGGGTTAAACTTGTTTCCCTGTTGTCTGTCTCACATTAGGGTAATCTTATATTAAAAAAAGGTTAATCTTATATTAAAATTGAAGCCATGTGAATAGTCCTATTGTTATCAATAGATGAGGCAATGGACTAAATTCTAAAAACCCTCTCCTCAGAATGGAATGAGACTTTTGGCTGGGAGTTAAAACTTTTGCCCAGAAAACTACTTTTAAAACGTCTGCAATGGACCCGTGCTGACAAATGAGAGACTGCACTACTTTGTTTTTTGGCAGTAGCATTAGCATAACGTTTGAGTCACTTCATCACATCTGACGCCGGTGACACAAGTTTTGTTCAAATAAAATCAAAACTCATTATGAATTCAATAAAAGCGCAAATGTAGTGGTGTTGGGAGTGAGAAAACAGTGAACACATCTAAGGCAGTGCACCAGAGCCTCTGCAGCCGGATCCACAGTCCCACAGTCTGGATGCATGAGGCCCCAGCGCGGTGTCTGTGCGAAGAGAGGCCAGTGACTCAGACAAATGTTTATTCATGACTTACAATTCATGTTTGGTCAGTTATTGAGGATGATATCTGGATCTACATTTCTACCACAACCTCTGTTTGAGCCGGGAAGAGAAATGAAAATGTGCAAGATATTGACAAGAAACAACGCAGTAGAAAAGGCGGTAACAGCGATCACAATCACTGACACGCAGATTCATAGGAGCAGCATTATCACCGGACGTCTGAGTTTGGACAAATACGGAGGTCATTTGCAGCGGAATTTCTACTTTACAAATTAGCAATAATCACAAATCACAAAAGTTACACATGGTACCTGTGTAATCTTAGTGACACTAACGGTTACCGGGGCAAAAGGAGTTAACTTTTCAATATAAGTCAATAGGAGCCGGAGAAAGTTGGAGCTAGCCTTGGTCTGTGTGTACTTCCCTATTGGTTTTCCTCGAGCTAGCGGGTTAGCATCGTCTATCTACATACAGTCTTTGGGCCAACCAGTATTTGTTCTCCTAAATGAATGCTAATTACACCAATCATACAGCAATAGTATTCACAATTTTCAGGTGGAATCCTTCACTTCTCTGCACACAAAGCTAGACAATAGGTAAGTCAGAATCCACTCCACTTTACATAAGAAATCACAGTAATTTCCGGGGCAGAAGTCAAATCGCAATCACTACAATGGAGCCAGTAGGAATCATCAAATGCGACTATTTGGAAGCGACCCTCTTTCTGACCTCTGCTAAAATCAAAGCTAACCCTGGCCAGAGCAAAGAAAAGGCAATTAGCTTCAGCGCCAAAGGTTAATAATGTTACTCCAAGCTAAAGACAAGAACCGATCCATTTTGTGATTTGGTATTTCAAAGGGCGAGGAAGTCTGTTGTTGCACACAGGAGAGAAATGACGGGAAATTTAACTTCAGATTGGGTTTTTATATCTTTTAAAGTTCAGGTGTGGAGACTGGGCCGTACAATAGGAGTCATTGTAAGAAGCAGATTGTGGAATGATAAATGTCAAGTGCAAAAACAATAGCATGAAGGTTTAGAAGAGATACAACATATATGGTGTTGATTTGAGTCAAGTCTGAGTTGGCAAGTCAGAGGAACAGCCAGTGCTTCTAGAAACTAATGGGGAAACAGAAAAATATAGCCTACGCAGCTTGAAATGAAAAAGTACCTTGTAATTGTTAACTCAAGTCGAGAGTGTTGGCAATTCTAGTGATTTTGGAGTTCAAACCAACATTTATCACATGGCTAAGTCAAAAGTACACATTTTTATCGCAAATTGGTCTCTTTTTTTAAAGTTAAAGAGTCTGTATCTTTTTATCCATCCAGTTTCTCCTACAGTCACCCGACTTTTTGTTTCATAAATAATTAATGGTTTATTCTACATTAAAAAGTAGGGAAAATGGGAGGAACTAGACAAATGGATTTCATGAATTATTTATGACATTATTGTAGTTGTTCTGTTTTTTAAAGTTCACTTCCCCCGATCGGTTTAAAGGGGGAGTCAGTCCGTTGTTACACACGGGTGAAAAATGGCCAGAGAATTAACATTTTATAGGTTTTGATATTTTTTTTCAAAGTCTGTTATGACATAGTTTGTTGCCGTTTTCAAATTACAGTACGTCAAGTCTTTACCGTATTGAAACAGCTTTTTTTCAGGACAAAACACTGAGATTTTAGGTTGTATTCTTGCGTATGGGGCTTTAAACACATTACAGAAGTGTGGAATATTTGTCTGTTTTTTGGTAAATTTTCGCAATGTTAAAATGGCATACGGACCCTTTGAA